TAATATTATAATAAAAAAAATAAAAAGCTTTAAGTCGACGCCGTGACTTTTATTGCGTGCTGGACGTCGACAACAAAATATCTTTTATATTTTTTTATAATAATAAATCGAATTTCACCGCAAAACTCTGCGGTCGCATTTTGTCGGACTCGTGCGTTTCGGGTCGGTTCATCTGCACGCACAGAAACCGTGCGATTTTATAAGGTTTATCATTACACCACACGCGGTACAAATATCCGGAGAAGCCATTGGCGTGCCGATATAATGTTATATACGTACATGATATTATTAATAGGCAGATCCGTCACAGGTCGCTTGTCCCCCGGAAAGCGCACAATTGACAAATAAAACATTATATGCATGCGAAGCCATATCCCAACAAGTGGAGTAGGTACATCTAACCGACGCAAAACTGTCGTTCTACTTAGGTCCGATAAAAAAACAACCCGCCGAATAAGGGCTGACTCACATGAAGAGCGTTAGTATATGTACACTTAATAGCAGTTGCATTATAGTTGTAAACGCGTGTTAATCTAACGTTCTGCGTGTAAACCAACCCAAAGACATTTGTAAAAATTGTTAACGACCAAGCGAAACACGCGCAAATCCAATGGAACAAAAACATTTATTGATAATACTTTGTTTACAAAAAACAAATTTACATACATAATGCCTTGTTCGCAGATTGTCGAAAGGAGAATTTTCAACAACCAAATTACTTAACAAAAATGCAACAATTATTATTTTTAGTTAACTTTGATTTTATATTTTCGCAAGTTTTTTACCTTTCCGTCAGTAAAGAGACATAACTATCAAATAATACTAACCCCAAAAAGGTTAAATTACAAAAGGTTAGTTGATTATCTATTAATAGGTTTAACTCTGCTTAACGATTACGATTGTTGCGGATGGTTTTTTTTTTAAACAAGTGAACGATCCACTATACGAATGATAACAGATCACTTTATACAGAACACTACTTTTGCAAGAAAAAAAAATAGAAAATACCCTCTCAAAATTGTGGGTTGAGATCTATTTTTTCGACAACACCAGTCCACGTCTGAAATCCGTCACTGCCGTTGTGGAACTTGTAAGTTTTCTAATTTCTGTTCAAACTTTCAACACACACGCACACGGTAGTAGGTAAACGCTGTAAAACCATTGCAACGGTTTCCGTCGAATCTCGCATTACCTCTAGACACACGGATTTGGTCGTCGTAAAACTTTCAATAAAGAATAACACTTGCAAACTTTGCGCGCCGAAAGAGTTTCGACCGGCGCGGCGTAGATTTGTATTACTATTCTCGGAGTTCTGTTTTATTAAAAACTTTGTAAAAATCAAATATCGATCTGTATTTAAAGTATTATCAAAATACCATTACGACAAGTGTAATCAATCATAAGAGAAAAAAACAAACAAACAAGTGTAAGCAAAAACTTTGAAAAGCGCCGTCGAAAACTTTACGACAACCATTTTTCATATTATTATAATATCACACAGCCGACCGGTTTATACTTTGTATAACAATGTATTCATACGAGTAATAAACACGGCGGATTAAACACACATCACCGTTTTTGAGCGGGGCAAGTAGTGCGGTGCAAATATTAATAATAATAATGTGTTGTAAAATGTCCCGAAAACAGTTCCCTCTGGAAACACACTCTTATTGGAAAAATTCGTTCACTTAACTACTAAAAACCGTGGTAGGCATTATCGCCCGCCTGCGCGTTTATAGTTAAGATTTTAAAATAATTGTTTTTGGCACGACCTATAATATAACTTACGCTTTCGGGACAGCCGATGACCCGCACGAGTGGCGACAGATTTATTGAACACCCCAGACTGTCCGATCGTGTATCTGCACAGATTCTATAATAAAGAAATAATTTCCCCGTTGCCAATGTGATACACAACTCATGCGTGGTTTGTGTATGTGTGTGTGTGTGTGTCTCTCTCTTTTTATCTTCTTTTTTTTTTTTTTTAATGGCCGGTAAAAATAAACCGACCGCTGCTGCAACACACGGTGACATTCCATTCCGATCGCAATACACATTGTATACACACACAAACGCTAAAAACGCATCGTCCATCGCCGCTGCCGCCGTTTATATACTGTATATTATAATGTTGTCACATGCGAGATATATATACATGCATAAATGTATGTGTATATATGTACATAAACCGTTGGCCTTAAACTCGGCAGAGTTATATCCTATGTACGTCAGGTCCTCTTTTTTTTTTTTTACCCCTACCGACCATCCTTGTTTTATTCGAAACCGTGCCTCGTTTTAGCACACAGCTGTTGTATTCGGACATTGATTAAATATAAAATTTAGATATTTATTGTAAAAACAATAAAAAATATTATATTTAATCAATGACTCGGATAATAAGAAATGGTAACGGGCATCCGATACATACGAGATAAAAAATTTTTTTTAATAAAACATAAAGCACCTGCCTATATCAGAGTAAACTTCCTCTTATACATTTTGATGTACCTAGTTACATGTACAACAATAACAACAATTAATTATTTTAATGTCTTTATATATATATATATATATATATATATATATATATGTATACTATATACTATATCCATATAGTATTGTATACTATATGGATAATCCAACTATCAAAATACGGTTCGAGACTTATTGATGTATGTATCAATTGATACATTGATAATTTTGCCCATGTCCGTCTATAATATTATCATCTGAAAAACAACTACTTTTATAAAATGTAACACAACGACGTATGTCGTTCGATTTCCGTTGACTGTACTACATAATGTGGAACGCATTTTTAACATTTTTATTTTACATCAACAAAAAATATCAAAGCTATATATTCATCAACTATAAAGTCACATATATTATCAATTGATGTATACAGCAAGTACAAAATATTGTTGTATTTTTATATATATATATATATATATATATAGAGAGAGAGAGAGAGATACATAGAGTTGTCTGTGTGTAGACATTGTGGTTACTGTTTTATTTTATTCGACTGCTTGGCTTTGAATAAACCGTAAACGTCCCGAGTATAGTGTTATGTATAAGTAACAAATGGTCCATGACCAAGGGCAACATCGCTTTAGTACCGCGTTGCACTTGTATTTATATATTTTTTTATTATTAGCACCAAGAAATTTACACTTGGATTACGTTACCGGCGTTACACTGAAAAAAAACATTATACAAATTTGCTCTGTAATCGACATTTTGTTCGGTGTATTTTTTTGTAATCCGCTGATCAAGTGAATTTTACTTTTTTCGCACAGTTTGATAAAAAAAAAAACGTCATTTACCGTATCACGTTACCTAAGCTGGCAAAATGTATAGAAAAAAAAATATTACTAAGTCGGATTGTTTTGTTTGCACGTTGGGGACCTACATGAACGACCGCAATTTGTTATTCTACCAGCCCGATCCGGTTATCTCCAGTTTGAAATAAAAAACTTATGAGAACTCTAAAATTAATTATCACACGCACGTCACATTTATTCGGTTACGTTATGACGCAGTAGCTGGTCACGTTACTCCGGTTCTGGCATAGTATCCGACTATGTGAATTGCCTGGATTGGTTATGTGTTTTTTATTGTTTACTAATCGCCCAGAACGCCTAGACGGATACCTCGAATTTTCATACAATTTAAACAAACGGTTCTACCAATTTACTAGAATCCGACAAGGTCATATACACGAGAGAGTAGTAGGGAGGTGTTTGGTTATTGGTTAGTATAATTACGGTGGCTCGATACCCCTTGAAAAATTGTACAGAGCCACTCGGTATAATAGTAATATCATTGATTATTAATATGTTGTTGCCGTCCATTTTTCAAAATCGGTAAAAAGTTCACAAGCGACCTTATAGTAGTCGATTAATTTATTTTACATCAACACTGCCGCGTAAGGACAATAGGAAAACCTACCGAATTCCATTAAACCTACTCGGCTCGGGTTCAAGACCAAAAAAAAAAAAACAGTTTTCACAATTACAAGAGAATCCGCGACGGGTGGGTATAGGGTTTTCATAATATATATATATATTTTTTTTTTTTATTAACCACCGCGGGGTTCCCGACTACTAAATGTCTATTTGCTATAATGCCGCCTCCGCCTCGTTAGCGCTGTACAAATCGATCGAATTCGCTCTTTGTATATTATTATATTATTGTGTATGTCCACCGCCGGTCGTGTGAATCCACATTGTTAAGAACTCTCTCACTATCTATCTCTCTCTCTATCTATCTTCGGTGTCTCCGAGCAGGTTAAACTCGCGCACACACACACACACACATATGTATATAAGGTAAATGCGGATTGTTAGGTGCAGTGTGTGCGTGTGTGTGCGAGTCGGAACCGGTCCAAATATGGTAAATCGGGTTTAGTGTCGGAAGGGTTGCGTTTGTGTGTACACGCCTACGTTTTTATACATGCGGTGCGTGCGTGAAAGGTGCCGGCAAGATCGGCATTCCTTTCGTCCGGGACCAATGGCAGTCGGGGGGGCATTTCATTCAGATGAGTCATGCGCGCCTCGAGCTCGACCGCCGGTCCTTTTATGCCCGGCCATGTGCATTTTCTCGTCCTCGGGTGGCGCTATCAGGCGCACCGCGTCTGCTGTGGTAACTGGTAGTCGGTATACTGATTTCGATTCCGAGCGCACACCATGTCATTCAGAAAAACCGTGTCAAACCCGTAACAACCCCATTGATGTCTCTCTGTCGGGAATCCGCGGCGCCCCCGCCCACTGCCCCTTCATCCCGCTATAAACAGCTGTTGTTCGTCTGTCCTTATATACCATCCAGACGGTCGGCAGACGTTTGGTCGGCGACGTGCACGCACTGACCGAATGCCATAAAACAAATGTACTACTCATATCGTTGCATTTTTCAGCGATATTGTTACTATCGGGCCACAAACGGTCGTGCGCGGAACTACGATATTATAACGATGATGACGATGTTGATTTACTTACGTTGTTTTGGATATCGGAAGCGTGGTTCATGGCGAACATGATGGCCTCGGAAATTCTCGAGTGTAAGGACCTGAGCAAGTCTTCCAGACACACCGAACACTGTCCGTTGTTAATGGCCGACACCAGTCGGTCAACAGCCTCGTAATAGCCGGTCCACGACGCATCCAGGTGCGCCGTCTCCCTGGCCAGACATCCGCGGACCACGTTCACGCACAGGCCGTGGCACGGTTTCGCGTCCTTGCCGGCGCACCACGAACACTGTCTCATCCTGGTCATGGCCGCCACGCACTGGTCCCTGTTGCCGTATCCCAGCCACGACCCGGAGTGTTGCTCGTCCACCAGCTGGCTGCCGTACCTGAGCGCGTGCATGAGCACGTTAGTGGCGGCAAACGTTCTGGATATGTCCTTGGACAAGGTGGCCGGCACGTCGCCGAACGGTCTGATATCGGACGTCTTGCCGGCCAGACACTGCGCGTAGTCGCCGTCGAACTGCGCGGCCTTGTCCTGTTTGTCGGACGCCACGGCGATCGTCCTGTAGACCACCGGGAACAGGTCGGTGAACAATCTGGAAGCGGCGTCCTCCAGGCTGGCCCCCGACACCGTTTCCGGGTCCTCGTGCACGTACCGCGACAACCGGTCGTGGAACGTGTCCAAGGGTCCGGTAGCCGGGCCGGCGATGCTCACGTACACGTCCGCCAGCACTCTAATGGTTTTGCTTTTCGATTTCCTAATCATGTGGTTCACGTGATCTGTACGGGGCAAAAAAAAAACAATATGAAAATTACATATGTTGTTAGGACGTGCGCGTGCGTTAGGGTATCGTCATGTGAAATCAAACACTCCTCTCGACACGACGCTACCGGCAAATATGAAAAAAAAATTCATAATATCATGTATTATGTGTATATATATATTTACTGTATCTTTCAATCTATTTTATCAATGAACGCTAATGGAGAACATACGACGTGTTTTGAACAATTACCGTATACAAATATATATATATACACTACAATAAAGAACGGATTGTGAGGGATTTTTTTTATACGCACACATAAAAATACTTTAACCGACAGAATAATAGACATCAACGGCGGACTATTCCCGTTAGAGCAGCGACTTCAGTACACGTTAACATTCCCTACTGGCCGTACACAAAGTACTCGTCATCGCTTTACGTTTAATCGTGTATAACAAGAATAACACCGAAATCGTACCCACACATAACACGGCAGTCGTATAATTTAATATAATATGCAAACGCCACAAACTGATTTACTGATACATATACAGAAACGGTTCTTCGCCATACAAAAGCAAACACATACTAGTTCATATTATACTAGTAACTAGACCTATATTAGAGCTTTAATTGTATTAATGTATTTGAAAGAGAGATCAATGTAGTCGCTTTATTGAACTCATAAGCATAGCGTGGTGGGATGAGCTAGGGAAATTCAGATCCTACCCCAACCGAGTTCCTACACGATTCAGGTAAAAAAACAACGATGGGCAAATGACTGATTGATGATTTTTTTTTTGAGCCTAAAAAGAAGTTTGGAAAGTTCTCTAGACTCCCCCTACTCCCACCAAGCTACGCTTATGATTGAACTTGTATTATTGCGGTAAAGAACAGCAGCGGTAGCGGCTAGAAAATACCAGTAGCCCGCGCGGTCGTGATATTATAATTAATTTATCCTAATAAGAGCGATAAGATTTGCCGTGGACTTGTTGCCAGTATATATATATATACACTATAATAATATATATAATACATGGTCGTCGAAACGGATCATTACGTTATTTATGTTCTATGAAGACCAGCACGCCGCGGCGTCGGTATTGGGTTTAATAAGACGGCGGGATAAAGAAATGAACAAAATAAAAAAAAACTGTATATAATCATAATAATAATAATAAAATCGGATTATACGAAATGGAATTAAAAGGAGGATCGACAAGAAGGGGCTGAGAAAAACAGAGATAGAAAACGTCGAGAAACAATTGAATGGGATCCGATCTGGACTGGAATGCAGTTTGCCGCAGAGCCCGGAGGATCGCGGTAACCCCGGGGGGGAGGGGGTTCGTTCTTCGGAATGCGGCGGCGGCCAGTGTTGCACCTGTGTGTGTGTAAGTACCGCCGAAAACAACAAACGCCGTACCTATTAAATTGTAGTATACTTTATTCAGCATCATTCGTCAACCGGGGTGAAAACACGAGACAACGATGGTCGGTGGATTTATAGATATATAGAAGAGAATCCGTTCACAGTGAGTATTTACTAATAAGTGTGCAAAAACGGTTGTACCGAAAACCGGTCCGGCCCATGGCGAGAACACGACCAGGACGAATGCGCCACCGCCACAAGAACCAGGAATATAACACAGGACCCGAGTACCTAATAATAACTATAATATAATATGTACACCGCAATAACTCGTCCAACCCTCCGGGCCTAACCTAAGCATTATATAATATTGTTTTTGGAGAAGACACCCCACGACGTGTGCCATAATTTTTAGTACCCTGTAAAACCGACTAATTTCGGGCACGTCTGTCTGTCGTTCTTATTTATACATTCTCGAGTTTTTATTTGTATATATTATATTATTATATCCTCATGTACGACCTGTCTACGAAAAAAAAAAAAAGGTAAGTCCGTGTGCTCGCGTATAACCCCTTCTCGATAACGGTTATCGGCAGTAGGTGATTATTAAATTATTATTGTCTTCTCAGTATATGCGTTTTATTAGGGTAAACTGTCATTTTGCCGCTTCGGCAGTTAGAACGTTCCGAGCCCGAGGCGATTCACACGGCCGAAACAATAACAGCGCATTCGGTCTGATTTAGGGTTGTTATTGCTGCGGTGATTATGTTTCTTTTTTACGGTTTGGCGGATAACTGATGAAACCGGCGAAAACAATATTATTATTATTATTATTATAACTACTATATTATTATTTTGTGGGGTTCAAAAGCGAGGAATGCGGTTGTAACCTACATATTTTAAAAATATGTACGGGCTGTATTGTCCGGAGAGGGACCGAGTTATGCGGGTGCGTGCGTTAAAGTACGAGTCGAGTTGACACGATGGTTTATTGAAAGAAAAAAAAAACACTAGTTTTCGCCAATTAGACAGAAGTTGTGATTTGTCCCTTAGTTGGGCATTTACGGTGTTTAGACTGTTTACCCTGAAACGAAAAAGTTAGTAAAACAAACGTTTGTCGATATAAGGAAAATGAAACGTCTTAGTTTTTCCAAACAAACTCTAATCAACGATGAATCTAACAAAAATGTCTTCAGATTTATGTGCGCCCTTGCCGTGAGTCACTCCGAAAAAGATTTTGGTATTCGTTTTGCGTTTCGGCCGAATTGTTTGGCCGACGGAAATGAAAATGGAGACGCAACGAGAATTATATTATTTCAACAATGATAATGTAATATTTTGCAGTTTACATACACAAAACGTGAATTCTGTGTTTAAGATGTTTTCCAAAACATACCCGCAATAATAAAAATAAAGAATAAACGTGAATAAGTTTAGCACAAAAGCAACGACGTTTTTTTTTTTTTTTTTTATAGTAGGTATTCTCTTTAGACATTCTTTGGTTACGATCGTACGGACAGTTATACCGACACATACAAAACCCCTTACTGTTTGACGTGCTTAAAGAGTATAGACACAAAAAAAAAATATGCCTGAAATTACCATATGTTATTTTCATATTATATACATCCGGCATTACATTATCCACGTTCGGATATCAATTAAAATTTACACACGGTTCATTTGCATTTAAACGTTTGCCGCCGACTTGTTTTGTATTCGAAATCCAACGATGGTGCGCCCACGCCGCGACGGGTTTCGCTTTAATAACGGCGATGATAAATACAAGCGTTTGCGGCCATATTACTCTTATAATATATAGGCAGCGCGTGGTCATGTGGAAAGCTGTTCTATTGCTATAATATGTAAAATTTGAATGTTTTCAATTGGTATGAACGCTCTTTTGATTCGGCAAACACGGTTTCGTCCCATATGAACAAATTGTATGTACTACTTTTGTCTCTCAAACTATTATTAAATACTTTTAATCAAATTTTATTTTTACTTTTTTCGGGGATTAAAAGTCGTGGAACTCGTTCATTCATGTATTTCACTAGTATTTTTTTTTTCTTTGCATTCGGTCGTAAAATTATTATTATAATCAGAATTCCCGTGGTCGGTTGTCACGGTGGCCTCGTTTTACGACTGCCAAAGACCGCCGCCCCCGGGGCTGTGTACCTCCTATACGGAACGACAACTGCACAGGTGATTAACAAGCATCCACGGTCAGCGGGAGCGCGAGTTCCCCGGACCCGGGTCCGAAGGATTCATAATAATGATAATAATATTTTTCTTAATGGATTGTAGTGCGCCGTGTTTACCTTGCAAGTGATGGGCGGTGGAGTTAAGCAGGTCGTAAACGAAGCCGGCCTGCGCGGCCAGATGTCTCTTGTACTCCTCGTCGACCATATCCATTAGCTTGGTCTCGGTGTTCGGGTCGCAACAGCTCTGCCGCGACTGACACACTTTAAGCTCTGTCCCTGTGTAAAAAAAAAAAACATAAGTAGAGTAATTGATTTAGGTACACGCATCATTGGCGTTTGACGGCGGCTTTTTGCAAATGAGTAACACAATTATTGTATAATATTTTCACTGAACATGTATTTTGTCGTGTTAACAAACCGCAAATACACCATTTAATATTTATCGTGTAGACATATATAATTATGTATGTATTTAGTTTATTACGCAGTTAAGTACGTCGCAATAATAAGAATTTTAGACCGAAAGCAACGACGACATAGGTTGTTTCTTGTTTTTTTTTTTGACAAGATTAAAAACGTGTAAAATTATTATTACATAGTCGTCGCGGCCATTTCACCCAACACCGTCTCCGCGATGGCGAGTGTATTATAAAACATTAATATAATTATTATTATTGCAATAATTAATACATATATATATATAAAACGTAAAACGTCATTGCCTCGGTGGAAACCCGCCAGCAGAGACAACGTGATTTCCGACAGAGTAGATGATTTTGTTTCGGCTCTGTTAATATTGTTTTAACCCAAATCGACCGTGGCGGCGGCACAGAGTAGATAATATGAAAACATTCTCTCGATATCCGATTACTGCGGGCGCCCTGTGCGCACTGTACTGACTTTCAATAGAGAATTTTTCAAAAAGCCCAAAGTTTATCTCTCTCCCGAGGATTTGTGTGTGGGCGTGTGTGTGTGTGTATCGCAAGTACTTAAACAGAACACAAAAAATACCTCAAAAAAATGTTACTGGTATCCCAATGAGAGAAGTAAGTGAGAAGGACGTTTTTAATAAACGCCATTTCGGCTCGTATAACGCTAAAACTATCTCAGCAACGTGTAAAGTATATTATATTATTTTTTTATTAATTATTATTGTTATGACCGGATTCTTTTTATTATTTTTAACTCGGTCGGCGGCGTCTAGAATCATGGACGACTCTATGTTCAGGCAAAACGGATTGTGGCGGGAGAGCATCTACATAAATATAGCCGACAAATTAAATTAATATCTTTTAACGACCGTGTCAACGTTATTTTTTTCTCCAAAATCACGTTGGTGTTTACGACGTCTACGTTAATTATATATTATATATCTACATATATATATTGCCCGAGTGTGTCAAAATATCCATGGCGGCCGTTAATCCCGACCAAAAACAACACGGACCAATTGGGCGGCAAGCCAAAGGTGCGAGACGACCAGATTTCAAGTGACTCGAAAATAGTCATTATATTATAATATATATTATTATTATTACTATTTTCTTAACGCCGCCGCCGCATCCAGTCCCAAATATGTATGTTCGTCCGGAACGGTTCCCTAGTTAATTTTTAAATATAACGCTACGCCTCCGGTAACACTCTACACATATATATATATTTTATCCATTACTATACACTACTACTGCACACTCTGACAAAGTGTGAAAACGCTAGCCGGCATGACGTGCTGCTGCCTGTTAAAAAATTGTCGACTATAAAACGTTGAATTTGTCACAATTAAGTCATCGTTTGTAAGTTAAAGCGCGAGCGATGCTTATTTACCCGTCCCGTTAGTTTTGTATAACGTAAATAATTAATTAAAGCACATTTGGACGGCGAGCGCCGCCTGTCTGGCGAATGCTGTGCGGTATAGGAATTATTTTTAACTTTATGTTTCTTTCCGGAATATTAAACGGTAGAAGCTAAAATTCAATTATTAACCAAAAATCGATAGCCGGCCGACTAGAATTTTGCACTTGACTAAGTAAAATGTCACAACAACTAATCCTGCAAACGATCGCTTTTCTAATTACGACAGAAACACTTTGAAACCCGCCCTCTCCCTTCAGTTGCAATTGGGTTAGGTCAAGTAAGCCACCGCCTTCGTAGCGAGGGCACAGCGAATAAACGTCCAATCATTTTCGATAAAACGCTACACAGCAGCAATGCTATTAATATTTTACTGCTACGACACCAGTAAGTTATAGTTTATCCCTTATCCTATCCACCACTGCCCCACTAGGGTCGTTACCATCGTCTCCCAAGTCCAGGAGAGTAACCTTGGGTATGGAGTCCGCCTCATGTCGCGCTATGTAAAAAATACAACATCACAAAGCTAATCGACCACGGCAAGGCAGTTATGATTTCGCTCGAGGGTTTTTAATTTTCACAAAACACAGAATACTTAGCCTAGTCGGAGAGAATAAGGTTCTAATAACACCATACACGTGTATAATATATCTACTGTGTTATTATATTATTATATACAAGTATAAAAATGTTGGGCACGAGTGCAACGGCGAGAAACCCGACACCGCCACCGCCCGGCAGTTAGGATGAATTATTATGTCCACAATTTTTATGGTATGTTTGTGTAGATATATATATGCCACAGCGCTGGGCATGGACTTGTATGTAAGTATATACGGTGCTGATAGAGACGAGGACACCCCGCGCGCTATTATCGGTCCCTTTTAAAGGGCGAGCGAAAAGAAAAATAATATAATAACTTGGCGACAATTGTATATTATGTGTCTGTGTGTGTGTGTGTGCGAGCCGCTCACAAGCATATAAATCTTAATGTCTTCCGTACAAAAGACCACTTTTTTTTCAATAGACTCGAGATCCCGGTGTACTGTACGAGGGTTGCGACCGAACACTATCGGAATGTCTATGTGTGTGTGTGTGTGTGTATTCAGAGGAAATCGAGGTTAATTTTTTACATACATTCTTTCATTTTTCCCATATTCGAAAACGTCTTGTATAATAAACGACAATAATGACACGATGATGCGCGCGTTACCTGCCCGGGCCTTTACAGAGAGCCTTTAGCGCCATAAAAACGACAACAATGCGCGCGCGCCGAACATTATTGTTATTATTATATTGGGAAAATAACCGGAGCCGAGGATCGTCGCATCCTGTCCCAGCTCTATTACACACACAAACACATACGCTGTCAATTAAGAGAACCTAACCTAAAACGGTACTAGTGCCGTGCGAAGGTTGTCGTTATGTACATCACATACAAAATTGATTTGCTTAGATATTAATAATAATATGTAAGCTCTACAGCTTTATGTGAGTAATTATGCGGATACCACTTACGGGGCACATAGGTATAAGCGGTGTTTACCCTAATAAATCCAAAGGTAAGTATAATTCTACCGAAAATATTACTACGGACCGCGGGTGTTTTTCGGAAGTCTTGGCCTGCGATGAATCATTGTTGGACGGCACGTACTGCGCTTCTAGGGTGGCGTTTAACCGAGATCGTTTAACGTTGAATAAACACGACGGCACGGCATGGTCGGGTTGACCTTAATTTCATTAAGAGAAAGAAAAACAAAAAAAAAACCGAAACTCTTTTTTCGTATTCCCTGTCCTCCGGATAACAGGCTTACAAGATTTACTTTTCGAAGAAAAAAATACCAACGCCTAACAAAATATAATATTATATCTTTAACAGGTACTTTTTGTTCGGCGCGATAGTAATTTCTCTTTGCAGGATTTAAGAAGGTGCTCGGATGTTTGATTTCTCGATACTACAATGGGGCGACGAGCGTTACACTTTTCGTTTTTCATATCAATAGACTGTATATATATATATCTATCTACACACCTGATCCGGATCGCACTTATTGTTTGTATGTGCGTTATTATCATAATTTTGTCTTCGGGTTATGTTTTCGTGTACGTACACGTACATTATACGCCAATATCGGGAGAGGTCCGCGTGTTGAAATGAATGGGAAAATTTCTAAATGTGCAAAAACCTATAAAGGCCGCAGAGATAAAAAAAAAACGTACAATATGCAAGGCCGACATTTTGCGCTAGATTAACTCCGCGGCATTGTTCATCCGCGCACACGATGGAGTGTACACAATGGATAAAAATCGTCAAAATAAAAAGAAGGGGTAAAAAAAATTGTCTAGAATACTGACACAAAATGTATAACAGCTAGTATGGGGTATATTCAAAAGAAGGAAATAAACGAATCAAACGGCGGCGGACGGGAGCAAGAAGACCCGGTCACATCCGTTTGGCGCCAAGAAATTGTAGAGACGTCGTTTGAAACACGGATCAATAGTATCAACCGCACGCAAAACATTTATCGCAACAATTATTATTATTATTATTATTATTATTGTCGACGTGGTCGTTGAGCGTACAGAGAAGAGTGAGCGCCAACTGTAAAACAAATAATTAATACCACTTCTCCCGATAATATACAAAGTTTAGCCGAACCAACGCTAAACGCGGCGCAACGAAACGTGTAATTTGTTAATATGTACTCGAGATCGAGTTTAGAGGTTCAAAGTGAATTTAGTTCGACCCTGCCCGTCATTTGACCGTTTGATTAAATTCCAATGATAGTACGAATCACTAAAAAATCGTCTGCCAACTTCCAATACGTCGGTACCCTCTGAAGTCCATTCTACGTGCGATCTATGTCCTAACCTACATAACGTAAAGGTTTTCTTCAAGGGCTTGCTCTTGAAAGTCCTAAAATAAAAAATAAACGGCCAAATCGAGGGCGAACGTGCACAGGCGCCGGACAGGCGGCGGCGGCGACTGCAAAATCGATTCACAATATTCCTCTTCTTTTGTATACAAAAACACACCGCCATAGCATATAGCATGGCTTGCTCGATTCTAGGTCAACATACATATCAGTGTGTGTCGCACTCGCCTGATGCTGGTCCGGCCTGCCCGCCAAAAGCCATTAACCGTTATGCAGACGGTAACTCACTGCATTTTACCACACACAACAGCTAGCACTCTATTATAATATATTGTATGGTACGAGTACACCGTACATAAGTCCATTAGTATGTGTTTCAGCTACATTGGTAGGTGAGTGGACAAAACCTCGGCAAGGCCACCGATGTTTCCGAATCCGGGGGCTTTTCTTGACCGGAAACAGAGTCCTCTTATAAATTTAAATTACCTTTTTTGTCTACCCGACCATTCAAAACCGGATGTGGTCCATAAAGTTTAAATTTGCCGCAAG